TAACCTTGGTCACATTTATCACCTCATTCATTCAAAATCATTTCAAAAGGATATTCTATAAGTAAGGCAATATGTCATATATTTAGCAAATACTGGATTAATATACAATCCCTATATTTAAGAATTGGGGTCCTGGTGTGGCACTGTGGGTTAATGCATCAGACTGCAAAACCATTTGAACTGCAAGGTCGGTGGTTCAAGCTCACCAGCCACTCCTCAGAAACCCTATACAGGGTCACTATGGGTCAGAACCGACTCGACAGCACTTAACAACAACAACAACAATATTTAAGAATTAGTACCAGAACTCATAATTTAGGTATTAGTATATAGGTTTATTTAGCAAACACTGTGATCAATACATAACCCCTGCATTTACAGATTAATACAAGAAACACGGAATACATTAGCCAGGGTAGCTACTCATGCTGTAAGAAGCTAGGCAAACTTTCAGAAAGGAATAACAGCTCATTGTTATATCTGAGTCCATTGATACAGTCACTGTGTCGTTCCATTTCATTAAAGATCTTCCTCTCTTTTGCTGATCCACTACTTTACCAAGCATGATGCCTTTCCCAGGGAATGCTCCCTTTTGAAAACATGTCCAAAGTATATGAGATCTATGCTTCTAAGTAACATTCTAACTGTACTTCCTCTAAGATTGTTTTTCTGGCAGTCCATAGTGTGTTCAGTATTCTTCACCAGCAATATAATTCAAATGCATCAATTCTTTTCTGATCTTCCTTACTCATTATCCAACTTTCACAGGAATATGAGACTCTGTGTATTCCTTCCATCATCTTTTGTTGTTTTCTGCATCATTCAGTATTTTGCCCATAGAATCCTTTAATGTTTCAAGTTGAGCCTTGCATTTTTTTCTCAGTTCCTTCAGCTCGACAAATGCTAAGCTCGTTCTTCCCTTATGATTTTATAGCTGAAGGTCTTTGCACATTTTATTATAATATTTGATTTTTTCTACTCGAGCTGCCCTTTTGAAATTTTCTGTTCAGTTCTTTACCTCCTTATTTCTTCCATTTGCTCTAGCAGCTTTGTGCTGGAGAGCAAGTTTCAGTCTCTTATGACATCCATCTTGGCCTTTTCCTTCTATCTTGTCTTCTTAGTGACCTTTTGCTTTTTTCCTTTATGATATTATTCATGTCAACCCACAACTCTTCTGTGACCTTGAATATATCCCAACTGAATTTAGAGATCATCTGAAAACAGATGGGATGAATTAGACACTAGTGACCGGAGACCAGAAGAATTTTCAGATTAAATCAACCATAACATAGTATGAAAAAACGAATATACAATTTAATTATTTATGCAAGTTTTAAAACTATATATTTTATTTGTCATAGACTGATGAAATAGTCTAATTGAGCTAGCATTCATATTTTCCAGTGTACTCCGTGTTATAGTCACAACACCTTAGATAAGAACCAGTGTGAAATCATGAGGTAACATTCTAACAACTTATGACTGAAGAATTTCGGTGAAAAAGGAGTGAGGGCTAAAGTGGATGTAACAAGAACATAATCAAGAAGAATCAGCAACACAAGTATTTTTTGATGAGGAAAACAATCCTTGAAATCCAAACTATCACAAAGTTGTAAACTACCTCTTGTCCTTTTACCTATTCCATGAATCTACTCACACTGAGCAAGTAAACATTCATTTTCATGTTGATGTTGGTTTTGTATGCTGTCCAATCTAGTCTGACTCATAGTAACCCTGTGCAGGATTTCCAACAGCAAGTGGTAGGGTTGAGCTGCCAAACATGAGTTTACCAGTCCAGTACTTATCCTACAGTGCCACACCAGAGCTCATTCTCATAGTGGTTTCTATCTCTTTAAATTTTCCCAGTTCTTCATTTGATTGCCTGCAGCTTTGCATCCCTTGACCGATTTCCAATCAGGTACCAATTACCATTGATTCTCCTTCCAAAATGTATCTTGAATCTATTACACTACTGTCAGTTCCCTGATCCAGCGTAACCTCTCTCACAATCATTTCTGTACTTATATCCCTGCTTTTCAGTTTGCCCTCTTCAACTTATTATTCCTCCACAGAATTATAAAATATGAAATACCTGATGTCATACCTGGGCATAACAATTAGTTCTCCATTGCCCTCCACTTATTCTATAGAGTGTGGAGTGCAATGGAAAGCTAGATGTTATGTACAAAGTGATGTGAAACAAGCCTGTCTTTCTGCATTTGCCTCAAACTGTGCCACCAGGCTTCTTTATGCGGTTGCTGTGTGCCATTGAGTTGGTTCTGACTCATAACAACCCTTTATGGGATGATTCAAGCTCACCAGCTGCTTCTTGTGCCTACACAGAGTCGATGGCACTTAACAACTCAATGGCACTTAACAACAACAACATTGTGAGAAGTATGTTTGTTCTTCTGGTAGTCCATGATACTTTTAATATTCTTCTCTCATACCGTAACTCAAATGCATCACTTCTTCTATGGTCTTACTTATTTCTATTCTAAATTTCACAAGCATGTGAAGCTATTGAAAATACCATGACTTGTATCAGGCATACTTTAGTCCTAAAACTGACATATAATTTACAGTGGTCTTGTACAACAGACTTGCTAAGTGCAATATGTTGTTTGATTTCTTGATTTCTACTTACGTGAGTGTTGAGAGTGGATCAAAAAATGACGTCTTTGACAACTTCAATCTTCCCCCCCCCCCCCATAGAATCATTCAGTATTGCAAGTTGAGACTTGGATTTTTTTGTTGTTGTTCAGTTCTTTCACCTTGAGACATGCCAATCGTGTTCTTACCTTTTGGTTTTCTAACTCCAGGTATCTGCACATTTCTAACTCCAGGTATAGCACTTGACTTTGTCCTCCTGAGATGCCCTTTTCTGTCTAGTTATTTACTTCCTCTTTTCTTCTATATGCTTAGCATCTTTACACTGGAGAGCAAAGTTCTGTCTCTTCTGACATCCATTTTGGTTTTTTACTTTCCTCTTCTCTTCCTAAGGACCTTTTGCTTTCTTCCTGTATGATGTTCTTACTGTCGTCCAGTCATTTAGTGCCTAATGCATCAAATTTATTCTGTAAATGCCAGTGGGATATGTTCAAGGTCATATTTCTCCTCTCCTGTATTTGTTTGAATTTTCTTCAGATTCAAGCAGAACTTGCCTGTGAGTAATTAATGATTTGTTCCACAATCTTCTTCTGTCATTGTTATGGCTGATGATATGGAGTTTTCAATCACCTTTTTAAAAAAAATGCAGTCAATTTAATTTTTGTGCATTCTGTCTAGTGAAGTCTATGTATAGTCATCTTTTTTATTGTTTAAAAAGAACATTACCAATGACTAACTCATTGGTATTGCAAAAGTCTATCTTGCTATCTCCAGTATTGTTTCTATCACTAAGACCATATTTTCCATTTACTGATCCTTCCTCTTTGTTTCCAAACTTTGCATTCCAATCACTAGTAAATCCCAAAACATCTTGATTTAATATTTGATCATTTCAGGCTGAAGAATTTGGTAGAATTTTTCAATTTCATCACCACTGACTTGAGTGGTTAGTGTGTAAATTTGAATAATACTGGTATTAATGGTCTTCCTTGTAGGCGTATAGATAGTATCCTATCCAATTTCCTTAACCTTTATACTTCAAGATACATCATGTATGGTCTCTTTGATGATGAATGCAGTGCTATTTCTCTTCAATTTGTCATTCTAAGCATAGTAAACCATATGATGATTAGATTCAAAATAACCAGTACCAGTCTATTTCTTTGCATTTTTGCTTAGGATATCGGTCTTCATGCATTCTATTTCATTTTTGATAACTTCCAAATTTCTTAGATTCACATTTCGTATATTCCAGTTTCTGATTATTAATGGATGTTTACGGCTTACATGAGTACCATTACATAAATACCTGTGGAAGCAAGATAAGACTTTTTGTTCCCATAAAGATTGATAGCCTCAGAAACTGTGTACAGGGACACTATAGGCTGGGACCAACTCCATGGCACTCAACCACCACCACCACCATGCTAATACCCTGCAAGTTATATTTTCTGCTTGAAATCTAAAGAATAGGTAAGGACGAGAATACTTCTCTCTCTTCCAAAATTCTTATGTCAATGTATTATCAGTGTAAGATAACTAGCTTTTACTCTCTGCTCATTCCTTCCCAAGATTGGAAAAAGAGCATATTCTAATTGGCGAATTGTTGTTGTTGTTAAGTGCCATTGAGTCAAATTCGACCCATAGTGACCCTATATAGGGTTTCCAAGGAGCCACTGGTGAGCTTGAACCACCAACCTTGCAGTTCAAACAACTTTGCAGTCTGTTGCATTAGCCCACAGCGCCACACCAGGACTCCAATTAGCAGTAAGAAATGTCTCTCATTTGAAGGAAGATACAATGGACAAAATTTGTGTTTTCTGTTTCCTTGTTGTCCTAGTTCTTCTTTATGTTGTGTGTACTGACTTGCCCTTCTTTGTCTTTAGTTGAGAAGACAATTTTGTCCACTTTGGGGTTGGTATTTGCAAATCAGTTGCCCATTTATATATTTGGCCACATTTTTCAATTTCTGCTAGATGTAAAGTAGAGGTGAAATTTTGCCTGAAAAAAATGCTCTCTTTCACAATTGGTTCTAAATCTGGGTAGGTCAGATGGGTGGTGGTTTAGATTCAATATGTACTAAAAATCCAATATGTCCTTAAAAGTAAAATGTAAGGGATAAGAGAAGAGGTAGGACTGGATTAATGGGATACCTTTCACATTGAAGAAAACAGGAATCAGGAAAAAATGTTGTCTGTTAACAATATGTGATCAGCATATATTTAGTGGGTTAATTAACTAATGGAATAATATGATATGATGAACTCTGTAATCAAATCTTGTTGGTCAAGTGCTGTTATACTGTAGCACAAAAGAGTCCTCAGTGACCACATGAGAACTACCTCATCTAGATTTTGTGCAATTTCAGTTAATAGAAGAAACCGCAAAGAATGGAGCTCTGGAACTCCACCTTGGGAAGTGGCTTCATCTTGATGAACATTTTGAAAGACAGTGGGTCTCCTGACTTGCTTTGTGCTGTCATTGGAATCCTGTATATATTGGCTCTGACTTGCAATTGCCTTCTGCTCCTGGTTATCACAATGGATGCTCGACTACATGTGCCCATGTACCTTCTGCTCAGTCAGCTGTCTCTCATGGATCTTCTGTTTACATCCGTTGTTACTCCTAAAATACTCGTGGATTATCTGCGTAAGAAGAACACCATCTCCTTTGGGGGCTGTGCATTTCAGATATTCATGGTGCTCACACTTGGTGGTGCAGAGGACCTCCTATTGGCCTTCATGGCCTATGACAGGTATGTGGCCATTTGTCATCCTCTGAACTACATGGTCCTCATGAGACCTAAGATCTGTTGGCTTATGGTAGCCACATCCTGGATCCTGGCATCTTTAAATGCTCTGATACACACCTCATACACTATGCACTTCCCTTTCTGCATGTCCCGGCAAATCAGTCACCTGCTCTGCGAGATCCCACCTCTACTGAAGTTGGCCTGTGCAGATACATCAAGATATGAACTCATGGTGTATGTGATGGGTGTGGCCTTTCTTATGCCTCCCCTTGCTGCTATTCTTGCCTCATATACATTTGTCCTAGTTGCTGTCCTCCACATGGCCTCAGGTGAGGGACGGCAGAAAGCCCTTGTCACGTGCTCTTCTCACCTAACTGTGGTAGGAATGTACTATGGAGCTGCCATGTTTATGTATATCCTGCCGAGTTATTACCACAGACCCCAACAGGACAATATCCTCTCTGTATTTTACACTATTATTACTCCAACTCTGAACCCTCTAATCTACAGTCTGAGAAACAAGGAGGTAATGGGGGCTCTCCATAGAGTACTGGGAAGATGCACCTCTACCCAGAGACTATAGATGGAAATGCTACACAGTAGCTCTGTAACTTCTAGATCAAAGTGTGTATCTGCTCTTACCTCCCACGTTTTCAAAATCCTAGAAATTCACCACACTAGAGACAGGTCCTAGTTTGGCCTTAGAGACATGGTTTTGTTTCTATTGGCTTTATGTTTTTATAGCTAACAAAGTGTTCATTCATTTGATCCACTTCCCAGGATCTGGTTGAAATTCCCTTTTATTCTGATAGCAATGATCTAATTTTCCTCCTTGACTATTCTCTCCCTACAATAATCCTAACCCTAATCACACAGGAAGTCAGAAAGATTTTTTATATGTATAATTTCATTTAACTAAAGCAAAGAAGTACAAATAAGTAGAATATATTGAACAAAGGTACTTATGTTAGATTTTATTAGTTCATAATGACAACGTTTCTCGTTTCTCATCTCTTTATTACCGTGACAGTGTAGCCATAGAACATGAGATTCTTTATTCTGAACAGATGTATCTAGATGTATAGATTTCCTTTACTTCTTTAGGTTTCAATTGTTGTTATAATATACATCTTTTTAAGAAATAAAAAATAAAGAGTCTGCAAATTTGGATTTTGTTCATTACATTATTTTAGTGTTGTTTGATTTTTACCTCTACCTCCTTTCTTTTGTGCAAATCAATAGTAAGAAGCAGAGGATTTATAAAATTGGAGTTTTATTTCTTTCCAAGAAAAGCTTATATGGTACTGCATGTATTTCCATTAAACAGCACATATCTGTTTATCTCCTTCTTTGTTTTGTAACTCTAAATCCACTATTTAATTAGGAGTTACAAAGTGGTAATGTTCTATTATTTCTTCTTTATGCAAAGGAGCTTCAGAATTGGAATTAACAATAGTGGAATTTTTTCCATGAACCCCTTATCTACTAGTTGGAAAACTTATATATATTAAGAGGAACATTTCACTGTTTGCTTCTGGTTATATTATAGAAAATCAACATAAGTGCTTGAATCTTTCCCTTTATCCATTATTAAAATAATGAGTTGGTTTCCTAGCATCATCCAAAGTTTACTAGTGAGGTTTTTTTCACTTTAAAACATATTATCACAAATTCATATCTGATATATTTCAAAAAATTGTAGTTGCCATTATACCAACATTCTCATTGTCTCGACTTGGACCAGTGGGAGTCTCTCGAACTTTACTCCTAAATCATTTTGATTTATTTATATTTATGTTGGTAGCTTCTTTGTTCTGTTGCATGGCAAGATGTTCCAGGACTACTTTATATGTTTCCTATCCTACACATCAATCAGCCATTTTCCCATAGAGCTCAGGTTCTGTTTGGAGAGAAATGTTATGCAGAGATCACAATCTGGTCATTAAGGATGCTGACTGCTACAGAACTGGCCAATGTTTCTAGGTTTTGTAAATGGACATACCAAATTCAATACATCATGAGTTCATACTGATACTTCTAATTCAATGGATTACTTAACCTCAGTGATCTTCTTTTTCCCATACAAATATTCAGTTCCTGATACCAGCAACATACTATTCAGTTTTTGTTTTTTTTTCTTAAAATACATACATCGAAAAATAAAAATGCCAATGCTCTTTTGACCATTACGACAACTGGCAAGAGATTTAGATTAATTTTTTTCCTTTAGGTGTATTCCACTCATATATACTATAATATGTGAAGTCAAAGTTATTTAAAATTAAAATTGTGGTTATACCACCAACTGAATACATAGTTAGATTAATTGATTTCATTTCTCTTTCAAATATTTGAGATTGCTTTTTAAATTTAAGATTTTATTGTATAATTTACAAAATATTTACCTGATTAAAAATACAATTTATGAAGCAAAGTCCAGTTGCTATCTTTGTTTGTTCTCTCCAGCTTATTTATTTCTATTTCCTGGGGGTAATTATATGTGTGGCTGTTGTTAAGAGCCATCAAGTCAGTTCCAACCCACAGCGACCCTGTAAAGGGTTTCCAAGGATTGACTGGTAAGCTTGAACCACTGAACTTGTGGTTCAAACTCATTTTGCATTCCAGCATATTAACCCACAGTGCCACACCAGGACTCCAATTATATGTGTACACTGCTGGTATTATAACAATCTCATGGAAAATTTTTGAGATTATGCTTATAACCTAACCTATGGTCAATATTTGTGAATATTTTATCTGTGTTTGGAAGAATTTAAAGTCTATTATATATCTATCTATGTGTGTGTGTGTGTGTGTGTGTGTGTAGTAATGGTGGACTCTCAAATTGGTTCAGACCATAGTGGGTTTCCAAGGCTATACATCTTTACAGGAGCAGAAAGTCTGATCTTTAATCCCACAGATCAGCTGGTAGAATCTAATCGCTGATCTTGCCATTAGAAGCCCAGTGCTTAACCTACTACACCACCAGACTCCATATATATATATAAACATATATATATAAACACACACACATATGTGTGTGTGTGTTGTTGTTACATTTCATTGAGTCAGTTCCAACTCATAACAACCTGTATAGGGTTTCCAATGAGTGGTTAGTAGATTTGAACCACTGATCTTATTGTTAGCAGTCTGGTGCTTGTCAGTCTCTCTTTGTGTGTGTGTATATACATAGATAGATAGATAGATAGATAGATAGATAGATAGATAGATAGATATAAATAGATAGATATAATATTTGTTGTTGTTGTTGTGAAGTACCATCGAGTCGGTTCCGACCCATAGCGACCCTGTACAGGGTTTCCAAGGGTGTAAATCTTTACGGGAGTAGAAAGCCTCATCTTTCTCCTGCGGAGCGGCTGATAGTTTCGAACTGCTGACCTTAAGGTTCGCAGCCCGATTCGTAACCACTACGCTACCAGAGCTCCTTAGATATAATATTAGGGTGAGTAAAAAGTTTATCCACACTCTGGCTGTAGAATTTATTTTTATCAACGTTTAGCAAAGACAAATACAGCATTTTTTTTCACATAATGTACTTGTTTTCAATACATTTCATCCATCTGTCAACAAGGTTTCTATTCATTATTTTTAAAATGTTTAGGTTGAGCTACCAGCCATGAATGCACCACTGTCTTCAGTTCTTCACCACAGGTGAATCTTCATCCTTGAAATGCTGCTTTTAGAGAAACCAACAGTGTAATGTCAGATGAAGCAAGATCAGGACTATAGGGAGTTTTTGCAAGATCAGAACAAAACGGAGTTTTTGCAGAGTATCAACAGTGTGGGCAGAGTTATGTAGACATGAATTGTCATGCAAGATCACAATACCCTTGGATAGCAGTCCTCTGCTTTGAATCTGAAGTGTGGGTTTCAGTTCTTCAGTAAGCATCTCACTGTAACAAGCAGTGTTAATTGTTGAAGCTTTTTCCTGATAGTGTTCCAATATTGGCCCTTGAGAATCCCAGAAAACTATAAACATCAATTTTCCAGCTGATGGTCAACTTTTGAGCTTTTTGTTTGTGGTGATTAAGGATGATTCTGTTCCATAATCTGCCATTGATTCTCAGGCTCATAGTGAGGAATCCATGTCATGTCACTAGTAACAATTTTTAAAAAACTTTTACCTTCCTTTGATCATCAATCCAAAATTTGTTTGCAGATGTCCGAACTCTTCTGTTTACACGTTTCTGTGAGTTGTTTCAGTACCTATCTTGCACAAACTTTTCAAAACCCAAGTCTATTGTGGATTATTTCTTAGGCAGAGCCATGACTGGTTTGCAAATGATTTGCGACAGAATTTGCTCATCTATCAAACAGGATCATTTCATATGCATGCTCAAATTGTCATCACTGTGGGCATGGAAGGATGTTTTCATATAACTAGAGTACAGGTAATTTTTGACTCACCATTGTGTGTGTGTGTGTGTGTGTGTGTGTGTGTGTACACAGACTTGTGGTGCATTGGGTTAAGCACTGTGTTGCTAGTAACAAGGTCTGTCATTTGAACACAGCAACTGCTTTGCAAGAGAAAGACAGGGAAGTGTACTTCCATAAATATATACAGCCTTAGAAACCCTATGGAGCAATTCTACTCTACCGTACAGGTTTCTATGAGTTGGAATCTACTTGATGTCAGTTGATTCTCTGATATTTTCCATTTAGAATAATAGTAAAAAAAAAATGTATTATCCAAATACTTTGTTAACAATGTAGATCTAGCAGTAACAGATGCAGAGGTATGAAGTGACACTAATACTGGCTCTGACGGTTAAGGTTACAAGTGGAGTGATGCAATTTCTCAGTTATGTAATAATGTAATTTCTCAGTTATGTAACGATGTGATTTGGCAGCTATGTAATGATGCAGTCATCCTCCATATTGTAATCTGATGTGGTCACCCTTCATTTTTGCATAACACTGCCTTTCTTAATGACCTGGTCTTTGGAAACTAACCAT